TTGATACTTAAGCATGGTTTGTAGGAACAGTTTCCTTGAACTGCATTTCTGTATGAATATTATGAAGCCATCTTTTCTTAGCCATTCTTATTCTGAGCCACGTACAGATTGAGAAGAGAATCCCATACCGATGGTTATGTTTATGCAGCTTGGATACTCTTCAGACTGAAAGCCCCTGCAGTGATGGAGTTGTTTACAAATATGAAATCACATACTGCAGAAAGTCTGTGTAGAGGTAGAGATATGCCTTAACACAAAGAAAGGTAAAACTAAAAAAAAAAAAAGTATACCTGCTTTTTGGCATCTATTGTCAGTCACCATTGATTTTCTAAAGAATTCTTATTTCATCATTAGTTTGATCTGTGTAAAACCAGTTGCTCCTACTGGAATTCAACTGCTCACTATCATTCCAGAGGAATAAAGGGCAAAGGCTCACCAGAGGCCCAATGAAACATTTCCAGTCTCTTCCAGGTGTTTCATACACTCTGATGTGCACACACACAGCTACTTCCTAGACCTTTCCTTTACATTTACAGACACCTAGTGGAATGCCTGATCTGTTCTGGAGGACTGCAAGAACATGATAGAGAACAAACATCAATTGTTTCCACATCTTATTTTCCTCTTAAAACACCACTAAAATACAAACAACATGTGAAAAGCCTGGCATGGGGAAAAAAAAAAAAAAAAAGCCAAATTATTTTGTGAACTCTTTTCAGGACTCTTTTCTTTTTTTCGGACTCTTTTCAGTGGTGAGTGGAGACAGAACAAGGGGAAACGGCTGGAAACTGAGCACAGGAAGTTCCACACAAATGTGCGCAAGAACTTCTGTACAGTGAGGTGACGGAGCACTGGAACAGGCTGCCCAGGGAGGTGGTGGAGTCTCCTTCTCTGGAGATGTTCAAGACCTGCCTGGATGCCGACCTGTGCGACCTGCTGTAGGGAACCTGCTTTGGCAGGGGGTTGGACTTGATGATCTCTGGAGGTCCCTTCCAACCCCTATGATTCTGTGATTTTTTGATTTAAATATAATCCTAAGAAAAAAATTAGATTGTTTTTAAAATTATTTTCAATTGCGAACATAAAAGTAGTACCCTGCTTTCAAAAGCTTTGTCTTCAGACACCCAGTTTTGTTCACTTTTTAACATGGTCTATCTCCTAAATATATATCTCAGGTGGGTGACATTTTCTTTGTTTTTACACGTATAGTTATACAGTCATCCTTCTGCATTAGAGGTGGAGTGCTAATTAGCTCTGTTGTGTCAGTGGAATTATAATGCAAAAAGGTACCTCCTCCAGCAACAATGAAAATAAATACAATTGAAAACAAAAATAAGCAGGCAGATAAGTCTGACAACCTTAATTAGACTGTACTGGGATTTAGCAGAATGTTTTGTAAACCAGACTAAAGTTAGTTGCACGTGCTGTAAGTTCCATGCGTGTTCTCTTAGTGCTTTCAAAAGTTGCCCATGTTTGGGACGCTCAGTGGTCACATTTAAACCACATGGCCTCTTCGTTTGTCTTTCCAGAACTGTAATCTTTTCAACTAGCTTTGGAATTCTCTTATTCAAGAAAAGCATTTGAACAATCAGTGTTCATCTCCTGTACATACCTCTATTTAGCAAACATAAGAGATTAGATTACTAGCATTCCCTTTAAAAATCATCATTTCTATCTGTCTGTAACAGTTCTGCATTTTCAGCCTTCGTTTCCAACACCATCTTATGCCCTAAAGACAAGCACTAATATTTCCTGCCCATCTGAAAAAGTGAAGTACAAGTCTTTTTCCCATGCTTTTCCTTGCTCAAAAATATATGAAAAGTATGTGAAAAGCTCCTGGAAACACAAATAGCTTTCATATTTGCCTTTGTCACATGATTGCACTAGATGCTACAGGGATACTACAGGGAAAGGTGCAGTTATGTTGTTCATCATGAGGAATTTTAAAGGGAAAAATGGCCCCATAAATTCTTTTACGATTTACTATTAAAAAGATTAGAACTTCACATTCTTCCCTCAAGAAAACACAAAACGGTTTTAAAGTAGCTTTGAGATAAAAGAAGCAAGATGTGTACTTCTACTTAAGCCTTAATCTATTTAAACACCAGTTTAACAGCATCGAATTTGTTCCCTCAGGGAAATTAAACAGAGGTGTTTTCCTCCATCTTCTCCCCTGGCTCCCTCTAGCGTCACAAAAAGCGTATTTCAGTTCATGCCCCATCACCTCAAACAAGCAGAAACGCACGTAACAGTAACAACCACGGTACTATCATACTTTTGGACCTAGAGATGGAAGCATTTTTTGGGAGGGGAGTAGGGGAAGAAGCATTAAGATACATTTTTCAAACCAAAAGAGATGACATGAGATTGAAATTTGCCTTGGTTTAATCCTATACTGTGACAAGTAGCAACTTCCATTGTCTGTTCATGCAATAGTAATTTGTGAAATCACATTTATTATCATAAAAGCACTGATTTAATCAACAGCATCCTTAAGTCTCCAGGAGGGGTGAAAGAACCCAGAGCTTACCTTAGCAAAACAATAGCTCAGTTGCTACAAAACTTGACATTTATTATGTGAAATGCTGACACAAAATCTGTTAATACAATAAATTCTCACTACTTGACAACTCTGTCCTAACGCAATCTAAGCTACAACTGCTTCACACCTTGGTATGACACCTGTCAATGTTGTTAACCCTTAATTACTCATATTCATCTCAAAAACAAAGTTTGGTTACTAAATGAGACCATACGAATACTTTAGTTCACAGAAATTGCATTGCTGCTCATTCAAATAAAAGGGAAAGTTCTTCTAGGGAGATGAAGATAAGAAAGCTGGAGAAATTACTTACTGGGTTACAATAATAATAATAAACTATTGAGTTACAGTTTGGGAAAATACAACACTAACGTAGAAGCTAGCTGCATGATGTTTCTGCATAGCCTGGTGTCCAAGTTGGCAATAAACATAGCATTTCTGAATGAAGCACTCAGTGAACTTAAATAAGCTCTCTTCAACAGAAGAATAAAAAAAACCACACATAAGAAAAGAAAAAAAAAAAAAAGGTAAAATGAAGAGGTATGTACATCAGACAGAAAACTGGGAAAAGAGCTGAGTTTAGAGCACACGTCTTCTGTAACTGAACATGAAAACAGTATTCAAGAAATAGAACTAAAAAGGACTATAGCTTTAATGCAGGAAGTTTGCTTTGGGAACAAAAGAAACAAACCCACAATTTACCTCTTTCAGGAGAGATTCTCCCCTTGTCCATTTCATTCACTGCATGCACCCCTATCCTCTGCACATTTTTTGACCTATTAACTGCCCTTGCCTTCTGGCTCCCAACAGTCCAGAGGTCACCTTTTCTTCAGTAGAGAAAAGTGATCTCTGTTGAGCTCGAGAGCAGAATCGGTTTTAGCCACGTTCAGAAATAGCACTTGAAAGCGTCAGCAATGACACCTGACTCATACTTCACACAAAGTGGGACAAGAGTTCATGTGGAAAAATGACATGAAAGTATTTCACTTGCTAAGAATAAACTACAATAAGTATGTTTTGTTTTTAGTATGACTGTTACCAAAAACCCAGAAACAAGCCCAGAATAAGTACTTCTAGAAGTTTTCACATAAAATACCATATTTAATTTTATATAACTTGTAGGGATGCAATCTAACTAAACATCTCCATTCACACCAGGGTTCTATTTTCAATGGTAGTAAGTTCCATATGTGAAATCACTCAAAATGAAAAAGCATTAGAAGTATCAGAAGTTCTTTCTCACAAAGCTGTTTAGAAGAAATAAAACACATTTTCAAGTAAACGATGAATCTTGCAAAAGCTGAACTGCAGAACTAGGTGGGGGGATAGGGGGGAAGCATGCTTCAAAGTTCCACAAGTTCTGCAAACTTCTTTTCTTTGTTGTTACTGACCTCCATAACGTGCTCCAGGGATGAAAACTACAATCACCAGTACAACACAAAATAGTATTTCGGAACATCATTTTTTATCTCAGAGCAGATATCTTACAGAAATATCCCTAACATACACATCAGCTGAATAAAACAATGATAAAAACAGCACACATAAGGCATCGCAGTGGTAACTACATTAAAATGTGAAAACCATAGGCACTAAAAAACAAGCCTCTCTCCTCTCACTCACTCGCTATTCACTTCAACACACCTGTGCTCCCTTTAAGCCCTCGAAGCTGAGCAGCGCGTACCCCCCCGCCCCGCGCAGACCGCGCCCGCCCCGCGCTGCCCTCAGGCGCGGTCCCCACACCTGTTTGCAATCGCGGTCGCTGTACATTTTAGTATTATTTCAATAAATGTAAAAACAAACAAACAAAGCTAGGAAGTAGCACATCTAGAGACACAAACTCTTTAGTAACATCGGCTCCCACAGCTTTGTTTGCAGCCCTTTACACAGCTCCGTAAGAGCTTTCCAGCATCTGTGACAAACTCACAGCACACACCGCAGCCAGCCCGTACTGGATACTCACAGGAACAACTTCCAGGTCTCAGCTACGTTATGTCTGCCATACAGAACAAGAAAAGCTCACGAACCAACACCACACTCACCTACTTGCTCCTCTCCTCTTCTCTCCTCTCACTCGCTCGCTAATGGCTTCAACCCACCTAAGCTCCCTTTAAGCCCTCGAAGCTGAGCAGCCTGTATCCCCCTCCCCGCGCTGCCCTCAGGCGCGGTCCCCACACCTGTTTGGAATCATGGTCCCCCGCAGCGCCCCCCTGGGAGCCCACAGCTGCCGCTCCGCTCCCCGCCCGCCCCTCACGGAACACCTGCGTCCCGCTGCCGCTAGCAGAAGCGCAATACCTCTCTGCCCTGTGCGGTAGTTAAACATCACCTGTGCTCCATCACCGGCTGGGGGAGCTCCGAGGGGCGGGCGCTCACCTGTCGGACCTGCCCTGGTTGGGGCGCGACCTCGCCTCATTAGCGAGGGGCGGGTGGACGGACGAGCTGTTTTCGCGTCGCTCACTTTTAACTTTTTATTTTCTGTGTACTTTTTTTTTTTCTTTTTTGTTTTTCCTGTTTTCTTATTTTGTTTCTCCTTTCTTCAGGCTAACTGTCCTTTCCCCTCGAGCTATAGAGGTGGAGAGTTGCCGTGCGAGCGCGTCACCTCTGCGTTCCGACCGGGCTGCGGGCGGAGCGAGCTGCGGGCGGTTCGGACCAGCCCTGCTCTGACCGCCGTCCCACGCCCGGCGGCGAGCGCAGAGCCGTGTGTCACCCTCTGGAGCAGGACGCAGCCTGGCCTCGCTCCCTGCCTCTCCTCTCGGTGCTTCCCTCGCTGGCGGTGCTCGGAGCGGCTCCAGGTAGGGGGCTGCGCCGGCCCGGTTTGACTCCTGTCTGCGCATCGCGGAGTGCAGCCTCCCCGCGGCGCCAGGCGAGGCGCGCGCTGTGCCCGAGCCTTTGCTTCTGCAGCCCCGCGCGGGGCTCGAGGTGGGCAGGGCGAGATCCGCCGTGCGCGGCCTCTGCCACCCTCCTCCTTCCACTGGCCGGCTGGGGAGCTTGCTTTTTCTTTTAACTGTTATTTTGTATTTGGTTTTGGCCTGTCTGCGTATCTGTCAGCAACGGCTCTATGTTTGTGTTGTATTTAAACCTTAATTTGTGATGTTTGATGTCGGTGTTCAGATTCCAAAATATCTAGGGATGTATATAAACTTTCTGTACCTTGTTTCCTAGCAGTGGTTCTGGTTAGGAATTCTGCTCAGTTAATCAAGAGGGCTCAATTAGAACCCTGTGGTCTTTCTTCAGTCGTTGCTTGGATTGCAGCTCCCTGAAAGGAGGTTGTGGTGCTGTGGGGCTCAGCCTCTGCTCCTGGGTAGCGGTGACAGGATGAGAAGGCATGGCCCTAAGGAGAGGTTCAGGTTGGATATTAGGAAAAACTCAGAAAGAGTGGCTGGGCGCTAGAACAAGCTGCCCAAATTGCTGGTGGAGTCCCTGTCCCTGGAGGCACTCAAGGAAGAATAAATATGGCACTGAGGGATATGGTCTCAAGCAGTCAGAGGCGTGGCTTGGTTGTTGGACTGTGATCTTAGTGGTCTTTCCAGCCTTTATCATTCTATTACATAATGTAGTGGTGTTTCCTGAATATGTTTGTAACTAACAAACTGCTAATGCCTTTGTTAAGGGCATGTGAAGTTTAGGAATGCCCGTTACAGAAACTGCTGTTGTGTGAGCTGGTTCTGCCCCAGAGGTCTGTGCTGCTTTCAAGGCTGGTGGAGTGACAGGAGCAAGCTTCTCATTAAACACTTCAAATGTTAAAATTAGAAATGTACTGTAACAAGGAGTGCAATCTGTGCGTTGCAAAGGATTGAGTCAGGTTCGGACTTTGGTTTTGCTTCATAATAAACTGTGTCTTTGTATGGGTCTGACTGTGTGTATATTATAAATCATTCAGGGCTGTTTACACTAAACAGTTGTGTGCCCCACAGCAGGGAACATTGTGTACAGACCTGTTTGGTGATAAAGAGTACCTGAAGAGCAAAAGGAAAAAGTGAAGAGTTCTCAAATAGTCACAGGTGGGAAACCTTCATGATGATGTGCTTGATTTATGCTACTAATTAGTGATTATTGCATCACTATATAAAAGCCAAAGGCTGGTGAAATGTTTTATTTCTAGCATCTGATTCCAATTTTGTTTGTTATTTCAACATTCTGGAGTACAGTGTAGCTGAATCCAGACCAACACCCTTCTGGTGATGTATCTTCAGTGACTTCAAGGTCGCTCAGGGAAGACAAACTGAATGACTCAATCTTTGATGCATATTTGCTGCCTTTCTCTTGGGGGTTTTAAGTTTTTCAGGCTTAACGTCTTGACCTTGCTAGATTTTCTTCTGTATTAAAGCAGTGTAAATAATGAATTCTGTAGACTTAGTTATGGCTAGTTTGTTACAGAATACGGTATTTCATAAAAATGAAAGTTCATTGAAGCTCTTGTAGGTGATGCATGACTTTGGCTTCTATCTGTGAGATTTCTTGACACAGACTTGAAGTTCATTACTCTGTGTTTTCCTAGGAGTGTAGGTCACAAACTTGGAGGTGGAACCACCTTAGCAGACCCTTTGATGCATGTAGGAATCTTAAATGCCTTAAAAGACACTAATTCATCTGAGCAGAGTTGTTCATAATTAATGGAAAAATCCACAAAGCTGTCTGTTTGCTACTACAAGGAAGCAGCACTTAAAAACAAAAAACTTTGCAGATAAACATAATGTACAAATAACATCTATAAAAGTTAAGGTTAAAGCATGTCTTTATGTCAGTAAGATGTAGCTTTGTAGAAATCAAAGCTTAACTTCTGCAGGTGCTGATGGCTGTCTTCTCCCACAGGCTTTCCTGTAAGAAGGGAGGAATGAGTTTCCTAAAGCCATTTTAGCGACACGTTTCACCATTTGAATGAGTAACTCCCCAGAAGACTTAAGCAATTCTGTTTATACACTTCAGATTTTAGAAGAGGCCAAGAATTCACGCACTTGAAGGACTGCTCAAAACCTTTTCTTATAGATAACTATTCTATTAGATAGGATGTTAGAATAGTCAAATTGCAGACAGTAAAACAAATAGAATTTTTCCAATTACATTTTTATGCCTCTGAGCACTTGTATGTTTTTTCCAAATGAACTGCATATATGCAGTATGTTATTTAAAAACAAGTTTGTTAGCTCACATGCATTAATGGCTATCGAAAGTGTAGACAGCTATCACATCCAAGATTTTTTGTTGTTGAAGCATTTAATGACAGTGGGAGAAAGGGATTTTATAGTCTTGCAAGATTTTTTTTTTTTTTTTTTTTGTGCTTGGAAAAAGTGTCTCACAGTGCTTTTATAGCAAGCTTAAAATAAGTTATGGGGCAGTGCTAACTTCAAGGAGGTGAAGGTTATTCTACTGTACCCCATAACAGTGTGTACAGCACGAGGGTTTTTTGCTGCCCCATTTTCCAGTTTAGGAGCAACATAAACTATTTTAATTAATATTGTGTCACCAAAAGCTTTTCAAATGGCCAATTGAATTCTGCCAAGATAGAGTCTTTTGATGAAAACATATCTTTATTGATTGTTGAAGAAGAAAATCATTCTTAAAATGAAATCCAGAGAAAAAAATCATATCCCTCAGAGAAAATTTCTGAGTGGCAGGCTGAGATTAACATCATAAAATTGAATTTGTGCTGCAAACCTTTGATGTAATCAGCAGCTGGGTGATGGTGTTGCCCTTACTGTGCTCCTTCTGATTGTGGTGAATTACTGTGTGGAATGAAATAAGTGTTTCTTGTGTCACTCGTTCGAGAAATACAAACAAGGTACTACTAGGTGGTTCTTGCTAGTTAAAATGAGTTGTATTGATCCCTGGTCCCAGGCTCTTGCTCCCCTGGACTGTGAAAGCAGCGCAGTCACACCCCAGGGGAGATCTGGTGGTCACTCAGCAGTGACTCCTCTGGCTGATGAAGGTGGAGGCCTGGCAGGTCTCAGAATAAGTCCCATTAAATCTTAAACTAGCAGTGTAGTGGCAGCCAGGGTCTTCAGAATGAGAATGAGGGGAAGCTTCCAAAGCCAAGTAGAGGGAAAGGTGTGTGATGGTTCACGTTCTTGAAAAGCGTATTAAAACGTGAAGAGGTGGGACAAAGAACAGTCTTCTTCCTTGGAGCCTTTTCATCTCCATTGTATTCTAATTTCTATTCTAAGTTTCTTTCTCAGCATTTCATTTTCTTTTCTAATTTACTGTATTGCTTAAACCTATAAAAACCTGCTTGTACCCTGCAGCTTCATGAACTGCAAAATATTGTTGCGTTCAGATTCATAAATACAATGGCATTCTGAAGAGCAATTTATAGCAAAGTTGTGAGCAGCATTGCAGGCATTGATGTGATGTCAGAAAGCTTGCAAATACAGCATTGTGTCACATGAGTAGAGAGAAAACCTTGTAAAGATATTTTGGTATTTGTGCCTCTTAGTTGGACTTGGTCTGTATTGTGGACAAGAAAAAATCTGAGAGTTGTCATAGCTATATAGAATGTAGGGACTGCAAGTCAATGCAGTATTTAAGTAAAGTTTTTACACCAACTAAAATATTAATAAAATGACAGATAAAGGCAAAAAAATAGAAATCCATAAGGGTTTGTTGTGAATACCTATCAGTCTCTAATTAAAACTTAGCTTCTTGCCATAATATTATAATAAAACTAAAGAAGACTGAAGGGGCAACTTGCACTGTTTGATATAACTATCAGGTCTATAAATGCTCGGGCAAACAGAATTTCATGGACTTGAAGATGCATGTTGCCTTCATAAAATTTCAATAGCTACTGTTAATCAGTTTGCCCAAATATTTGAGTTTTGAACCCAAAACGAACAGCTAAGTGCTTCTCATCTCATTGTTCTTCCACGATTGCGTAACAATTTCTGCATTCTTTTTTTTCTGCCTGTTCTGATAATTACATATGTAACTGGATTTTGCAACAACTGACCATGTGGACAGCGCAGGTTGCTTAGGAAATGCAAAATAAGTAAAAGGAAAGGGCTCCTGATTTTTTTTCTTTGATTTCATGTATGCAGTCTTTCTCCTTCCCCAGATAAGTTATAAATTCCTGTTTGGTTGCTTTTATCATGGAATGTTCTGTAGCCATGAGAAGAAGCCAAAACCAATTGTTTTATTGCTTGAACAGTTTGAGATTACATCTCAGGCAAGTTAACTTCCTAGTTATGAAGACCTTGATTGGCACTGGAGCCAATGAATTCTGAAGTCTGCACACAGAATATTGTTTTTTTTTTAAATGAAATGATTCCTATAACTGTACTTAATATTTTTCCACATACTTAATATTTTTCTGCATATTAATTAAAAGCTTCCTTAATGCTTTTGAGCAAGGTCTGCCTGTAAGTAAATGCAGAGCCAAATACTGAATGTAAACTCTGGACTTGATGGGGAGCAAAACAGAACAATTGACTTTCTGTTGAACTTGGTGTGAATACGTGCTTAAGAAGATGTCCAAGATCACAGCCCCTCCTCTCTGCTCCATTACAGTTTTTGAATGGACTTCTAAATACATAGCAGCTTCTCTTCAGCAAGAGTGGTACTCAGCATCTCAAAGAGAAGTTTTGATGCTGTATAAATTGTCCACATTTGTTAAAGCAGTACAGCTGAAGTCCTCTAAGCTGTACAAGTTGTGATTACTTTCAAAGTTAAGAGGCTTGTGCTGTGCTTCTGGTGAGATGTGTTCATAAAAGTAGGGGCAGGATGGTGGAGATGTGACGTTACAGATGGAATGAACTGGTATATTTTTAACTAAGAACAAAAAAATTTTTACGGTTATGAGGGAGTGCTTTCTGGCAGTCAGGAAGGCAGGACAAACGAGTTGATTAGGTTGCAAGCAGAGAGAAATGGGAACATGACTGAGGAACCTGATTTAAAGTTGGATTATGAGTTAACACTGTGAATCAGACATGCTTGAATGGGCAAAGCTGGAGGAATTTAACATGTGCTGATAAGCTTACATGCAGGCGAGACATGCCTTGGGCAGTATTTGACTTTGTGGAAATGCTTTACCTCTTTAAAGGAATAGTTTGATAAATCACTTGCTTTTAAAAAGTAAGAAATTTTGCTCCAGGTGCTATCAGCTTCACTACATACCTTTGATAAAAGTAATATTTTCAGACAAAGTGTGAATATGCGCATTTGTGCAAATAAGCATGCAGTATTTCTAGGGCAGCTGTGGTATTTGTAGAGTCAAAACATTTATGCAAAGTACTCTTTATCTTGTACATCAATATCTTGATCTTAAAGTTAAGAAGAGGAGGAAGATTTAAGGACAATAATATTAATGCTAGTTCATATGCCTTGCCCTCTGTTTCTCTTGCACTTCAGTCACAACACAAGGACGAAAGTGCAAAATGTTTGTGTGAAAAATTACATATAAAGGATTTTAGAATGATTTGTCCAGAGTAATCTGTTTATAAATCGTAACAGTTATGGTCTGAAAATGTACAAATGGATTATCTTAGATTGCTCCAAAAGTAATGCCTTCTATTTATTTCATGGAAAATACAACAGATACGAAGAGCACAATAGTACTATTTGATAGAGGGCATCCTCAGCTATAAAACACTATTTCAACATAAACACCACCCTTAGCTATGCATTTTCATCAGCAATAAACAAGAGCCTGTTTGCCATGCTTGTGAAAATGTGCAGCAGCGTGAGTGACCCACTGTTTCACAGCTGCTACCATGATGTTGCTCCTAGGAAGATGTTGCCCAGGTGGCCTGTCTTGGTGCCAAATCTGGACTATATGGTGTGTGTGATAGGATAGTCCAGCCAAGACTGGCAATGTGTTCCGTGGTCTTCAAATTCGTATGGGGTCTGGCCTATATTGTGTTGCAAGAGAGAATTTATCTACTTCTCTGGCCTGACTCTGGAAGCACAAAATTTCAGCTTAGTGAGCATCATGATGTGGCAGTCACAGCTGATGGTTTGTCTGTGTTCTAGGAAGTCCAGAAGAATCATCACTTTGTTATCCCAAAAGACACCGCTCATCACCGTACTTGCTGAGCACTTTGTCTTGAACTTTTTTATTTGATCTTTTGTGAACAGGTTATATTTTCACACGTATTGCATATTCACTACATTCCCAAATTCATCATCCTGTCCACCCCTAGTGATTGCTCAACACATGTAGCCTTATCTGGCTACCTTCATTGTCAGCTAGCACTGTGATGGTCCGCTGTAGGTCCGTTGTTAGTCATTGGGGTGGTCGTTTACTTCCTCCCAACACTCCTTCTGTTCCAAAGATTGCTGTAGAATGCAAGGACAATTGAGAAGTCTTTGCACGAAACACTGCTTGCATTTCATGATCCTTGTTACTACTGCTGAAATGCACCACCTATTGTCTCACTGTGCTCACATCCACTGGTTGGTCTCCATAAACATACAGCAAGCATTGTTGAATGTCAGTAAGTGCTATTTCTTTTGCAGGTGGGTATTTAGTTCCACTCCTTCGCTTCAAACAGTGTTGTTCCATCAGACTGCCCCTCTGCTGCCATCTGTCACAGCAACAAAATGTAATGGAATATTGGTGGGAAGGTTCAACCTCTGCTGCCACACCACCACCATATGCCTCTGATGTTGTGGGCCAACACAACCAAATAGGAGGCATTACTTTCAGAGCAGCCCTGTTCAATGACAACAAATTCTAGGGATTTTAATTTTCAATTTGTAGTTAATTCCACTGTACACCACTTGCTCAGCACTAGGTGTGCTAAGAGTATTGATCTTGATTCTGTATTTCTCTCACATGAAAATATGACTTAAGGTTTTTATTCAATGCAGTATGAACCTGCAATCTGCTGCTCTATAGTGTTTTACACTAACTGAATATTCACATGGCACAAGTGGCTATGTGTATGCAGGAGAAAATACACTTTAAAGAGCTAGGATTTGGTTTATCACTCAATAGTTAACTCAGAAGACACCATTCTGTAAGGATTGTAATAATAGTGAAGTTCTGTTGTCTAGCCAATACCTAAAAATATGTTTTTATACTTTGGATAAAAAACCTTCCTTTTCAGGACACTAAGCAAAAGAAAAAGACTTTACTCTTGTTCAGCAAGTATTATACTTAATATATCCAGAAATTTATAAAAATAAGTTTGAGAGAAGTCATTCTAAAGCTGAGATCAATTACTTCTCTAAATATTTTGATGCATACCCACAGCGAGATTAGAAAATATGCTATGTGTGAGTTACCAAAGAAATTCTTGTAATTAATTTCTGAGGTTCCTCTTCTGCTTTTGATGTTCTGGCTGACATTGTATGGTAGGTTGACCTGCCTTGATAGACTGCCATACCAACCATTTCAGTCCTTTGTCTCAGTCACTGTCTTCACTGAGCTCAGTCACTTCTCTTCACTGAGACTCCTTCAGTTATTTGTCCATTTTTCTCGGGCTAGTAGGAATCAAAATTGCCTTCACTAAAGCTTAAGAGAATTCTGGTTTTCTGTGGAGTTGTTTGATTGGCACAAGTCCATTTCACACCATTCTCCATTCCTGACAAGAGCTAGAAGCAGGCAACAATGTTTTGACATTATTTTCTAATAAACTGAAAGGGAAGGAGATAAATAGATGCTCCTGAAGCATCTGTATAGGTTTCCTGGAAAAATGAAAGAGCACCATAGGGTAGAGTATTGGTACTCCACTTAACTGGGGAATCTTGAAGCAGCTTTTACACACTGGAGTAGTTTGCAGTTGGACTCGGATAGACCGTGGTGTTTTATTGTGGGAATACTTCATGTAAAGACACTGCTAGGTATTGCTCATCTATGCCTTTCTTTGGCAACCAGTCCTTTCACATAAGATGAAGGATGAAGGATGAAATTGTGTGTGTTAAGTTCCCTGAATATTTGTCTTAACAGAACAAATAGAAGCTCTTTAGGTAAAACTGTCTATTGAAGTACCAAATAATGTTCTGCTACTTGCTGGCTTTCATTTTGAAGACATTGTTGGGAGTACTCTAGAAAGACATTAGACACTTTGGAATGCAGGAACCTGAAGGCAAGAAAAATGCAGTAGAATGCTTATGAGATCATTGAGGTAGCAATGAGGTAGCAACTATTTTGATTGAAGTGAAGGAAGTACAGAGGGCTGAAGTGTTTCTAACACAAACAAATGTCAAATTTTATATGTGGAGAAGTAAAATATTTTGTAAAAAGGAAATATTCAGTACTGTTGTTTGTATGTACACTGGAATATTTTCTTACATACTTAGCTCACAAGAGTGTAGTGACCAGTATTCATTTTGGACAGATCCAATTTCTTACTAGTGATTGAAATTATTGTGCTGATAAATCTTTGGGACAAGGCACATGTGATTTAGGATGAATTAACTGTTGTGTTCAACAATTCATTTCCCAGCTATGTCTCTACCTCACACCTTCCTATTGGGCTGCTTCTGTCTCTAGGAGGTTCTGCTCTCCTGACCACCCTCGATCCATTCTCTCCTTCCAGCCACTGCTCTTCATCCTCTTTACCTTTTGAGGAACCACAAACTCTTTACTGATACCCATTTTCACCTGCCAACTTCTGCGCTCTGATAGTTTGCTGCAGAGCATGATTAACACCCGTGGTAGGGGGAGATAGGGGAAGTATGGTAGTACTACCAAACTAAGTCAGCAAGAAAACAGAGTGGGATATGCCCACCAGAGATCAGGCGTGTTATGTTAGGCAGGCTACGCTTATATTGTAACAGTACTTGTCCTTTTTGGCACAGCACAGATTTAAAATAGCAGCCTTTCTCTGTCCTTTCTTCTCAAGCTATTAATAAAAGCGTTAATTAGATATTGGCAACAGCCAGACTCATTCATCAGCTTTTCTGAGCTCCCATTTTCAAATGCTGATTGAATTGCTTGGTTGTGTTTTTTTTTTTTTTTCCCCCTCAAGTGTGTTGTGTGTTTTTCTATTGTGGTTTTGTTTTGCTTATTTGGTGGTTGTTTATCTTAATTATTTCTCCTACGTTCCATGTGGCTCACAGTCAGCTCACCTTGACTTGTTTCTGTTTTCAGGTGGGAGCGATGAGGGTATCAATACCAGCTGTGGCAGTGTGGGGGAGAATTGCTCCCTCTCACAGCATCACTGCCATTATGATTACAGATGACCAGCACACTATTGTTACAGGAAGTCAAGAGGGGCAAATATGTCTCTGGGATCTTTCATCAGAATTAAAGGTTTGTTTCTACTAAATTGATGAACTGAGGTTTTACCTTTTACTATCAACAGTGGAATTCCCTAGGCTCTTGCTTTTAAATTAGTTATTAAAGATAAGTTTCCTATAATAAGCCATACATTATGAAGCAAAGTTGTAGATGTTAAAGCACCTGTACAAGTAACCAATAATTTACAGACATCAGAAAAATTTTCATAGATGCTTGCTGACTTATGGGTTATTTTGAGATTATGTGCTATAATTGTTGTAAGTGAACATACAACTACTGCAGTTCTTATACTGTGAAATCTTTTTTCTTTAATACAGTGGTTGAGTATGGCCTGTCATTTCAAGATGAAATATTTTAATTATGATATAATTAAACTGCAAAACTACTGACAAGTTACTACTATTCTATTTCATGTCCATCTCTCTGAAAATGGAATGAAATCAAAGCAATTCCAAAATTTTATTCTGTGTTCTTAGTGATGGTTCTGTTCTTGGATTTTGCTATGCCATTTCAGTTTGAACATGACACTTTAGTTTATGCTTTTATGCTGCTACTTTTTTCCTATAAAGATGATCTTTGCATGAGATGAAGCTCATTGTAGTCAGAGGTGTTACTTAAACACACAGTATTAAATATATGCTTAAGTGCTTTGCTGTATCAATTCCCTGCTTCACTTGCCATTTCTCCTTCTGCAGCATAGTGTAGGCCAGAGAGGTTCTGTACTTTGCCTGCTGTATAACATTTGACACTCCAGAAATTTTTCAGGAGAGGTTTCCAGACTACAGTGGTTAAAGACTATAATTCCTATTGGCAGCATGCAAACTTGCATAATCTGCACACATCTCTGTATATTTCAGAAACATAGCTGAAGAACATAAGAATATAAAGCACATTGTCAATTACTGGTAATGTCTACAAGTAGGATTTACTAGCTTTTTGATCTTCGTAGTTTATAAAGTGCTCTGTTTAAGTTAAACCATTGTATTATTCTCCTAGATTTCATCTAAAGAAATTCTCTTTGGCCATACTGCTTCTGTAACTTGTTTGGCAAAGGCAAGAGAGTTTGAGAAACAGCCATATGTAGTAAGTGCTACTGAAAATGGGTAGGTAACTGAATACTCAATTTATTTTTCAAATCATGAAATGTAAATCAAACATAGATCAAATTCTGCATTTGGCAGAAAGTTTTTAATCCACTTTCTTGATTATATAAAAAGAATAGCAATTATGATAATGACTATTTCTTGTATACAATAGGCTAACCAAGAATTCATCTCTTAAGCAATAAAGAGCTTGGCAAATTCAGGTAACCAGTTAACAGTCAGGAGAATGAGTTATTCAAGAGCCAGGCCCCATTCAAATGGAGAATAACAGACAGTGGAGGGAGGGACTGGGAGGTTCGGAATTTTAATATCATGGTGACTTTTTTCTTCCTGAGTTTGATCTCAAGAATTGAATCAGGAAGGAGGCTCATGTACTTGATGCAGGTTGTGCTTGCTCAGTGACCGCATTTGGAGACACAGAAAAAACAACTCTTGAATACAAGGTGTTAATGTTCTTTGTCTTTACTTAAATTGCATCAGCTGTCTTAGTATATGACCCTTGAGTTTCCTGATCTTTTCTTGTATGTTTGTTGTGATTTGGCACTCTATTTAAATCAAACTAATTTCTGCAGTACTGCCAGAGTGACATATGAGAGGTTTTATTTCTTGGTTATTTTATAATCCTTTGTGCTGGAATCTGAAGCCTATCTGTTGAAGATTTCAGCTTTTGAAAGCAGTTAGAGCTAGTTTTTTACTTCCTTAATGACTTTTCTTAGAAGACTTTGTCTTGAAGCTTGATAATATTCCTCATTCAACTTAGGTTCACCTTTTTCACTTAACAAGGCAGCTCTGTTAAAACCTCCTCCCATGATGAACACTTGTTGCCCTTTCCAAGCTACAATTTTTGTTGCCTTGAGGGTTCTACTTTCTCACTGAGAACATTGTTTATCCTTTCCATCCAGCTACTAGGATCTCTAACTCTCTCAAACTTCAGGTTGCAAGGAGAGGCTAACTGAGCAATGTGATTCGAGTGTTTTAATCAAACTATTTACCTCTGTCTGCCCAGTGGGACAATCTAAGCTTTTAGGATTCATCAGAAAAGAAAGGTGGGAGAACTACAGAACCAGTTTTTGATTGCTCACTGATAATTCTGTTCAAGAGTTAAGAAGTGAATCAATCATTCATCTTAATTCTGAAGCTCTCTTGGTGCAATATCATTTCCAGATCATATTGGAAGAAAAGATACTATTTCCAAAAAAGCTGTGATAAAATGTGTTAAGAAACAAATGAGGTTTTTGCAATAGATGTGATACATACATTCATATTCTGAAGGTTCTGTCATATAGGGCTTGCTTGGAATGAATATTGCTAGGTTTAAACAGTTTTCAATCTGCTTTAAATACTTACTTTCCAAACTACAGAGCTATTGCTTGCTTAAATTCTATACTGAGTAAATGCAGAACATTTATTACTTATCCCTGGAAGGTTACAATATGAAGTTGAGAAGTACAAATAGGAAACCTCCTCTTTAGGAGATATGGAATTGAACTATTTCCTGGCCTGTGAGTCCATCAATTCCCTGCTATTCATAAATTTTCACTCGTCCTGTGTCTGCCTGTGGAATGTGCTGTAGGACAGTATTATCGATGTGCTGCACCCCTTCTTCCTTTTTTATATGCAAAGTAAATTAAGTGCAGTGTACAGATGCTGAAGCTGTTTTCTGTTCTAATTTGTGTGTGCTTGTATGTATTATAGCAATTTCCCTGAAGTGGTAAAATTCCATGCACTCTGATATAAACAAGAAGTAATTCACTGCCTTGAAATGATTACTGAAGACTAAAAGTTATTGTTTTTGCTCTATGAAATCTGACATAGAACATATATAGATTGTACTCCTGCAAAAGTGAAAAAAATAATTAAGTTAATGAGTAGATTAAAATACAAGTTACTAAGTATTTTTGATATATTAAAATATTTCCCCCTAATGTTTAAAACTCCTCTTATTAAAAATGCCTTTGAATGTAATCTGGGAAATCGTGGATATAATTATTTAAAATTTGAAGCAGAGATTATTATTTAATTGCTGAGCTATGACTGCAAGCCAGGTAAAAATTCATTTATAACATTTAAATAGTTGTTTTTTTCTGTTGTACTCTAGTTCAGTAGCATGTTGACCAATGTTTCAGTGAGGAGGAAAGCTCGCTGATGAGACTTTCTAAAACAGCTCCTGCATGTTATCGAGTAGAACTGACGTTAGGGTTGCCGAGAGACTTCGGCAGCAGCCTCATGGTGGCACTGTTTCTTCTTCACTGAGAGCGTCAGTTTCTCCCTAGAGCTGAAGCCTGCAGCAGCAGATGACAGCATTATGTGTTTCAAAACGTGTGGTTTAAGTTCAGTTGAATGAATCATTTTCAGGAGGATGTCGTTCCAACAAATGATAGTTATAGTGACGCTTTGACAAGCTATAATGGCAGTATACCTACAATTTGTTGTAGACTAGAGTTGGCCTTAAAGTCAGGTTTGCTGCGAGGTAGCAGGGTGTAATTACCAAAACAAAAAGCAACAGATACTGTATGTCATGCCCTGCTAATGACTGCAACGTTTTCATACCCAGTAATCTGTAACAAAAAGCCACATAAATGACCAGACTGCACTTAAGTACAGCACTAAAGAAAAACTTGCTGGCACAAAATTATTCCATCCAATTGAGTAGAAATGACAGAGAATAATATGAAGTTATCTTTGGCAGGGAGATGTGTGTTTGGAATGTCACTAGTGGACTGTGCATTGAGAAAACAAAGCTTCCTTATAGGCATACAGCAATCTATGTAAGTATAGAAACTTCTCATGAAATATCTCCCTTCATTACAAGAGGAGTTTTTCCTCTATTAATTTTATTATTTTCTAATGCAGTTCTAAACATAATTCATAGAAAATCGTTGCAATACTAGTTGTATGTTATTTTTCCTTTTAGATTCCTTCTGAGAAAATAACTATGACTTGGTATTCCTTAATCAAATCAAACTGATTCTCATTAAGCCACGTGTCTAGAGTGCGATAATGCGATCTCATTTATGTATTTTAAAAATATGATGTGAAAGAAAGTTGCCTTGTAATCTTTACTCTTGTCCTTTGTTAAAATTATGTATTTGAAGTATGGTGTGATCTGTGTTGTGTATTGCTTTATTAAATTTTAATAGTTTTGGAGATCTTTCACAAAGAAGCAGGCAGATGTGACCTGGCTGATTATCTGCTGATTTGTGTGTTTCTGTGAAGAACAGAGGCAAAAGCTTAGTTCTTCTCCTTCAAGTAGGCAAATACTTTCAGAATAGTGTTACTTTTCCATTAAAAGTAGTGCAATTGTGACTAGATAATGACTTTTTTGGCCTATGATTTTAGCACAGTAAGATGGCAAAAGGACAATGTGAGCACCTAAGAACAAAACTTCCCTAGGAAAGAAAATTCTGTAGGTAGGACAAGAAACAATTCTTAAAATACAGTCTTCAAGTACTAGTAATTGTTTTGTTCTTTGGTATTGTTTGGCTGTGGGTTTTTTTTTGAGTGTTTTTATGCTTTTTTCTCTTTTTTGTTCTCCTGTGACGAGTTCAAAAAGTATCACTTCATACAGAATGTTTGTCTGGGAGTTGTAGTGTGTTCTGGTTTAGCATCATTATTTAAAAACATTTTGGTTGCCATTATCTGGCTTAGTATGTTCCTTTTGTTCAGCATCAATAGTTCTAATATAAATGGCAGATGTCAAGCAGTTCAAACAATACTTCCAATTTGCAATGAAACTTAACACCAAGGTCAACTGCTAACCATTTGTGGGATCTTAAGAGAAGTGGGATCTTCTCATTAGAGGACTGATTGATTGTATACACTGAGGACTATCCAATTATATATTTGAGTAACAGTTACAAATTCTTCCTGTTTCTGAGCATTTCTCCATCTGATTGTTCATTTCTGTGTACTTATCCTATTCCCAGTTATTTATGGAACCTTTATTTTCAGACTTGAATTAGTTAACTGATACTTTGAGAACTATCTAACCCAAACTGGAAGTACGAAAAATATCCTTGAACATATAAAACACCTGGAAAAAAGATAGTCACTCTGTGCCCTGTTATCAAGCCCTTTGCTCTGTGTTCTTCCTTTTTTTATTTGATTTTTGAGAAATAATGGGTTTCTTGAACAGGAGGGCAATTAGTATTATACTGAAAATATCTTGTGGAGTAGAAATTCTTCCTGGAAAATAATTGGAAATTCAATATGATTCCTCTGCATTTTTACCCAACTTATCCCCAGTCTTTGTCCTTCTTGATAAATGAAGTTTTATCAGATGTTTGGAGGAGATGAGCTCTCAGAAATCACTACCAAACTGTTTAGCAATTTGCAATGAAAATCAACATCTTTAGTGACTTCAAAAATCCTAGTTGCTAGACAGGGCAGATAGCAATTTCAGTATTAAGTCCCCTTTTTCTGAAATTTAAACATCTATTAAATTGTTATAAATGTATGTGGAACACTTGCAATTCTACCAATATTTTCTACCGTTTCATGTGTGTAATTCACTGTATATTTTTAGCAATTCAGAGTGTTGAGTATGTTTCTGTGATATGCTTAATGTGAATGATGTGCATGCACATTTCCTGAGCTCGTTATGCTGACTCTCTTCTCTCCACTTGCACAGTATTACCATTGCTCATTCCGAATGAGAGGTGAAGGCTGGCTTCTTTGTTTTGGAGAATATCAAGATGTTCTTATTATTGATGCTAAGACTTTGGATGTTCTGCATACTTTGTCTTCTCAGTCTTCTGATTGGATAAATTGTATGTGTATTGTTCGCTCCGCAAGAATTCAAGGTATGCAGCATAGATATTAGTACAGACCAATGAATTTAATGAAGCATTTCTGTATAACTTGTGGGATCTTACTAGAATAACAAATATTCCGTCATGTTGTACAATGCACTTATATGTAAGACATTGTTTCATTGTTTGAACTTAAGGTGTCTATAATACCCTTGGTCATGTTTCATTCTTTGTTTCATAAAGAGAAAAACAAAGGACCTCTACGACTGTAAGCAGCTTGTTTGGAGATGAGTACAAATTAATTTGGTAATATCAGGAAAATTATGGAACAGAACTGCTATTTTATCTTTGTTTGGAATATAGGTGATTGGACAAAATAATTATTCACTGTTTGCTTGTGTGCTTTGTATTTCTAAGTGTGAATGAGCTGTTTCATATTTCGTTTAAACAGTGCCCTGTAGAATCCATCAGATGGAGTGCTATGTAGCACACCAGTGTCTATGCCAAGGTTTTTCTTTTTTTTAGGCGTGGTTTGGACTCTGTTTCAAACTGATTATCTTTTGTTATCTTTTCACAGAAGACTCACTGGTTGCCGTGTCTGTAACTGGAGTTCTTAAAGCATGGGACCTATCTTCATCTTTGACCAGCATACAGGTCAGTTTGTGAAATGACAATTGCAACAATAACATAAACATAAAGATAACATCAAGTGAAGGTGCACTGAAGCAGAATATGAATGAGTGAAGATCTTATGACTATGATTTAATCCAGATTGATTAATTTTTTCTGTTTTTGAAGGCGCTACACTCTAAGTTTCTACAAAATCCTGAAAACTCATCCTTCTACTGCTATTTAGAATTAATTGGGCTATTGGCAAGTTTTTGCCATGGCATTGCAGTGTTCATATGTTTCCTTAGGCTATGAGCTCTTAAAAACCCACGCTTTGTACTCCCTCTTCATCTTTGTTACTTTTCTCAAAATGATTCTTTAGATTATACTTTTTAATATTTTTCATAGTACTGTCTTCACTTAGAAAATACTCTTGCTGCGTCAAGTGCTCAATTTGCCCATCTTCAGACTGCCTGTTTCTGTTGAGTTTTGTCAGTATCCTCAGCAGCAGTCATTTGACTTGCACAGATGCTAAAAGTCAAAAATGGTGTTCTGGGTTGGAGTCAAACTCTGAGGACTGGTTTCGCAAGGAGATGAGAGCATTATAGCTAAGTACTAGGGATTGTCATCAAAGTGGCAAAAAGTCATCAATCTTCTCTGGGGCATCCATAATACATTACTGCCTTATTTGACAAACTGCAGAGCATGCCACTGCACAACTTGTTAATTGATAGGATCAGGCCCCTCAGGACAGTCTGTCAAGTTTGATACTGTACAAGTGTTCACATGATATGTTTTTGACTGTTCTGCAATGTTTTGGGTCTTCCTTCTAACATTCCCAGGGGAAAAAAATACTGTTACACTGTAGAAATTCTGGGGAATGTAAGAACTGATCAGCACATAGCACCATACCATGTGCTTCCTTTATTTTACTGCCTGGGACTTTCTTTGTAAGAGAGGAGAGCGGAGTTGGTAAAAATCAAGTTATTGCAGATGCTTAGAGAATAGAATTTTAACAAATATTGTTGGATTGAATTGATATTAATATGAGGTGAAATGAAAGAATGGTTTGCCCTCTTACTGTGCAATGATTCTGTAACCAGCATACTCCTTTTCAGGGAAGTTACGATACCGGCAGTTATCTTTCAAAGCAGAAAATGTAATTTTTCAATCATTTAATCAATAATTAAAGTAACTCCAGTATAATCATAGATGAAGATCTGAGCCATGCAGAATGTAATTTATTTATACAGTGCTTGTGAACTCTGTCTTCCAGTCTTTTAATTAGGAAATATATGTTGTTTTACGTGATTTTTCAATAGTTTCTTTCTATTCTAAAAGTGAAAGTTAAGCTGTCTGGAATAAATCACAGCTCTGTTTTTTCCTTCGCTGCTCAAAGGAGAGGCAAAATGTGTGTGAAAAGGAGTCCAAGTCTCTGGACTGTATGAACTGCCGAGCAATACGGTTTTGCACTTACACAGAAAGGCTCCTTCTGATTGTGTCTTCCATATGCTGGCAGGTATGCTGTTGAGCATTATATTTGTTTGATTGTTAAGAACCTTGAAAAGCTGATGTAATCAATTCTGACATGTAAATGCTTCCCTTAAAATTAGTGCTTGCTAATTGTCAGATGTGTGCTGTCTTCCCTTCAGTTATCTTAACTGTCTTACTGAGGTTTTCATTTTAAGTATTCCTGCTTTAAAAGATTGATATTAAATCGGCTCTGTAGGAAGGGGATTATTTTCAGTATCCCCCAGTTTTAGAGCATTGGGTGCATTACAGCACACTCTGTGGTACATTAAAGATCAAACTGGTGTTGTGATATTTTTCTGAAGGTGATTTTGGACTATTAATGTCTAATTCAGGTGCCTCTGGAGGTGTGGAAAGCTGGAGTTCATAGAGCTGAGTCAGCTTTGTCTAACGCTTTTGTAGGGTATTCTTGAGTTTCCTCTTGGGCTATTTTGGAAAAAAAAACTGTATAAAAGCACTGATAATTTTCTTGTACAGAATGGGCAGGTTTTGCATGGAAAAATAGAGTAATATCCTGTTTATAAACTTGTGATGCTTTTCACAAAATGCATGTTTCTTAGAGTGTTTGTGTACTTATCTATATGGCTGCTTCAAACAGCAGATTATATGCAAGTGGCTTATTTTAAACTTCTGTTTTAATAAATATATACCTCTCAAGGAAAAGATAATCATGATATTACTGCTTAAATAGAAGGTTATGTAGCACGTGCCGTGAGAGAGACTCGCATGTATCCTTAGTGACTCAACTCACTTCTATGGTTATGAGAACACTGAGCAGATAATCTAAAAGTCCTGTGCTCCATATAAATCATAATAATTCTCATTCTGAAAGTTTTCCTCATGCCATTGGAGTAAGTTGTAGAATGTGGCTAAGAAGACTATTAGGAACATAGACAAAGACCATATCTTGCTTTGCCAAGTTTCTGTTTAAGATGGGGAGGCCAAAGGTAATAAGCTACTATTTTATTTCTAGTCTTAAAAACAGAAAAGCTACAAGAACTCTCCCAAGTAAATCTCCTCACTTTCAATTAATTTGTGGAAAAAAAAAAATTGTTGTTCAACAAACAAAGAAAAATCTGTTCTCCTAAAATCTGCTGAGATCAGCAGATTATTGGTTAAAGAATACATAAAGAAAAAGAACAGAAGCATTAACTGCATGTATCAATCTTCAATGTCATATTGTTATGTACTAAATTCATTGCTTCTACCTAACAGTCCAGTAAACATTAGTAATGAACACAAAGCAAAACAAACTAAACTCTATCTAAAATCCTCTAACATAGCAGAAGCCCTTAGTGTTTTTTGTTTTTTCAGTTTATCTTTCTGTTGTATGGTTTGATTCTGACATTATGCTAGTTTAATGTTATAAATATTGCTTTGGCTTTAAAAGAAGTAGTCGAACTACAGAGTCAAGATAATGTTCTTTGCATTGATTCTTTGCCTAAAACTAGCTTGAATGAATCTGATTGTGTCAATATTGTTTGTTTGTGTTTCACTCTTTTTTGGGACTTAGGTCTATGATTACTGTGATTTCTCTTTGCTGTGTACTGAGTTCTGTAAGAGTGGTCAGTGCTTTGCTGGTGGAGAAGTACTAGCAGCTTACAGGCTTATCATCTGGACAGAAGATGGTTACAGTTACATCTACCAGCTGCTAAACAGGTGGGCTCAAATGGGAAATTCACACAAAAAGTTCAGGTACAGGATGAACTTTGGGAGGTTTATTATGGAAAATCTCTGCATGTTGCAAGTGATCAAAAACCAGAACAAAAACACTTTGGCACTCAAAGATTTACCCTGAATTTGACAGCTCTCAGTCTTTGTTTGACACAGCAGGGGGCACAGGAATAAGATTAGCCATGTAGAACTTGGGCAGCTGGCGCTGTGATTTCACAAAGTCGCTTGTAATTGCTTGGTAACTTTTAATTTAACTTGCGGATCTTAGATGTTGCTGTTCTCCTTCCTTTAAAAAAAGAAAAAAGAAAAAAAGGCTTTCTAAATCTTTTCTTTCTGAATTATGCAGTGGACTTTCCAAAAGCACATATCCTGCAGATGCGAAGGTGCTGAAAGAAACTGTTTATCCTCATTTACTCTGCTTTACTGATGTGAAGGAAAATAAGGTAAATTCATAAAGATTTACAGTGAGATTCAAAAGCTGCTTCAATGTATGTTTGTAATCTCCAAAACTGCAACAAAGATTTAAGTGCTGTAAGTGTGGGTTTTTGACTTAAACTGCAAGGAAGACGTTTCTTCATATGAATGTATTTACTTATAAAGTTGGAGATGTTCGCAGTGTTGTCTTTAATTCTGGCTTATTTAATTTTTTCTCAGAAATCCTGCATTTTCAGATACAGGTGTTTCCTGCTTTTTAATAAAGAAGCAGAGGTTTCCTTTAAGTTAAAAGCACTCTAAAATAGCTTTAGAACCTTTTACTCTCACCTCTGCTTTAAAAAAAAAAAAACAAAAAACAAAAAAACAAGCAAGCAAAGAAAACGAGGTTATTTAATTCTTGTTCTAGTAAGAAATGCATACATGTTTCAGTGCATGCCTGTCCTGACTTGAACGGTTTTGAGTCAGTGACATCTTATATAGATTACTGTTATATCAAGCCTTCATAGTCGTCGTCATACATTTAACTCTTGCAGTGTGGGCAAACTGACAGAACTTACAGTGAATGAAGTTAAACAGGTTTTTAAGCAGTTTATGTAGATCTCAAATAGATACCTATTTTTCACTATTTCTCAAATATATAGGCTTTTTCTAGTGAGCTTTTGTTTTTGTTGGCAGCCAGAGACTTAAGAAACTGTTTTTGTTGCGTGCAAAAGTGGGATAACCGCTGAAGGATGCCAAAAGGTCAGATACCTTTTGGTAAAAAGAAAGAAATAGCCAAAATGCATGGTTTAGTAATGCTAGGGTGTTGCAGAAGGAAGCTCATATTTTTTACTTCCCCCAAATATGTGCATTTTTTAATAATGTCTGCTGCTATTTTCTAATATTTTTCCTCAAATATTTACCACCTAAATAATTTTTATAGTGGATTTGTTTTACAGGACACAGCTCCCTTGGTGACAGTCTGTTCTCATCTCTTTAGATTGTAACCTGAGTTGCATAAGGAGTTGCTTATTGTGAAATTTACTCCCAAACTTCAGTGTTGTATATAAAACGCATCCTGCTTATGGGGATGTTATTAAAATGTCTTCAAGGAGCATACAGCCTAGCTGTGTTGACACTATTAATTAAAGCTTCTCTTTAGAGGAAAACTGTGCTGATGATTGTTCAATCCATGCTACTCAGCATGCATTTTTTTCTGGCTTGTTTTTGGCAAGTCTCTTTGTGTTTGAAATGCAGCATCTGTGCTCCTGCATGCATCTTTCAGTTCAATTTCAGCCAGAAGGAGTCTTGATGTGGTACTCCAGGATGACTTCAAAACACAAAAAAGCAGCACCAATTTCCAAAGTACACTCCTGCTCTAAGTTAAAATGTCTCACAGGAAATACACCTGGAGTTTCCTATTTTCTTATTTTCTGGAAGAGTGTATTGTTTGATTTTTGATATTTCCAATGTCTTCTGATCTCAAACTTGGAATTTGAAATTCATTATTGCATTATTTTATCACCTCTTCCACATCAGGAGTTTGACTTACTGTTATTTTTGGCAGAGTTTCCCTTTTGTCATGGGCTTTATGAATGAAAGGAAGGAGCCTTTCTATAAGATTCTTTTTTCCGGTGAAGCTTCAGGAAGAATCACTTTGTGGCATGTTCCTGATGTTCCTGCATCTGCATTTGATGGTTCACCAAAAGGTTTGGTAACTCTGTGCTCTCAGTGCAAACTCTTTAGTTATGTCTGCAAATCATGAAAACTTGTGAAAATTCTTAATGGCAAAAATTGCTGTTTATCCATCCGCTGTGTGGTGATTCTCTGTAGGCAGCAGCAACACACCAACAGGGAGTGTCCAGTAATTGACACTTCTGTTTCATGTGGTCGGATGAATGAATATTCTATTTCTTTTCAATTTGCTCATAAGCACATATTTACCAAATGTCATGGAAATTTGCTTATTTGATCTTGCTTACGGTGTTCATAGACAGGTATATTTAAAATAAAGTATTTTAGTGAGATGATGTAACATGTTGGAGTGACAACCATTAACTCTAACCTAAAAGTGCAGGAGGGATAAGTTTAGAAGTGGTTGCGAGATGAAAAATACATTTTGGTTTTCTTTTGAGTTTAAACAAATAATGTTCCTGCCTTTTTCTCCCCACACTCTAGAAATCCCAATTTCAACAACATGGACTCTTCAAGATAATTTCAATAAAGCCCATTCAGTGTCAGAGGGCATTATAGATCATCTCTGTGAGTCTAAAGATGGAATTGAAAACGCAGTTGTGACTTCCTCTGTGTACATACCCGGTCTGGATAAGCTTGTGTGTGGATGTGAAAATGGGGAAATTTTCATAACACTAGGTCTAGAAACTGCAAGAGCAAGATTTCTAGGAAATGCATCTTTGAAAAGTAAGTATTAACAATTTTGCTTAACTATCTGAATGACGCATGGAAGACTTCATGTTTCTAACATTCCCTTCAGTCATCCCTTTAAACATTCGATGAAAGCGGAGGTGAGGCTCAGGATCTGAATGAGGAAAATAGATTATGATAGTCTTTGCAGCCTCCCTGTAGGTGACTTATCAAATCACTACCAGACGACTTGGTACTGCTAGTCCTATGATGGATGTGGGGATTGGAGTCAACTGGAATTAGAGTTGTGGGATATCACAGAGGCAGCAGTCATCTTTGTCATTTTCCCTCTGAAAGATAATTCCACTTCAGAAATAAAAAAAAAAAGATGCTTTCTGGTGGATGAAGGTCTGAATGTACATCTCTGCTCTCCTTTTTCAGAGAGAATGTGTCCACAATTGTTTAATCTGTTTAACTGTTAAAGGATGTTACCTTTCTTAAAACTCTTTAGATGAAAATTTAGTTGTAATTAGTCTTCTGAATCTCTTGATTGTTTTATGAAATGTATTGTCAAATATGGAACTTCTACTTTTAAAGAAGATAAGTAACTTACTGTGTTGTTTCAGGTAATCTACCTCATAAAGTTTTGAATGGTCATAGTAGCAGAGTTACATGTTTACTTTATCCACATGGTAATTCAGTAAGGTTTGATCCCAGCTGGCTGTTATCAGGGGGCCAGGATTCTACTGTGATCTGCTGGGATATATTTACTGGAAAAATCTTGCACCGATTTAGTCTGCAATCTGGTCCAGTGACAGAGCTATTGAGATCTCCAGACAACTGCAAAGTAAGTATACTTATAATAATAAATAATTTATAATAAATACACGTGCTTTTGCCCTGTGGCACTTGATCTTTGATTTGCAGTTGTTATTTACTTAATTGTTTTGTTTGAAAGCTGCTTTTAACTTCAGGGTGTTGATTTCGTTAATTTATAATTTCAGTGGTACAGAAAAATGCTAAAATGGTGATGGATTTAATTCTTCTTAACAGCCTATTCATCCTTTTTCACATCATGATTGTAAAATTGTATTTCAATCTGACAAATCTTTGTAAATGGTATGTATTTAAATACTTCACAAAGGGCTAGTTCAAGGTCTTAATGCTTGTAAGGCTCTTAAGCAATTTTTCTGGCATCTAGATAAACTGTATTTACCTACTTGGATGATGATCCAGTTCATTTATGGGGCTGATATTTTCCATCAGGTAAATTCCTTCATATCACCAAAAATTACTATGAGAACGACAGAATCACAGGGGTTAGAAGGGACCTCAAGAAACCATCGAGTCCAAATCCCTTGCTAAGGCAGGTACCTTACCATAGGACTCGCAGGTGGGCATCCAGACAAGTCTTGAATAGCTCCATACAAGTAGACTCTGCAACCTCTCTGGGCAACACCTTTTAGTGCTCTGTCACCCTTAACGTAAAGGTGTTCTTCTACATGGTAGTACAGAACTTCCCATGTTCAACTTTGACTGCTTTTACAGGCCAAGTACTGGTGTTTAAACTATTCTTACATTTGAAAAATCTAAAGAGGATCTAGGGATCTGTTTTACAGCTTGCCTGCTAAAAATGACTTGGAGATGTAGTCTGAAATTAAGCATTTTCCAATATTAGTATGTTCTGGGAAATAAATGACTAAATAACTTCCAGGCTTACGACAATGATATCATGACTTTTGATGCAGTATTGATAACAAAATTCTTCTGTTTTGCAGTTGCAGTATCATAGTGTAGTGTGCTGTGTGTGTAGTGATCACTCAGTAGCAGTTCTACACCTTCAGAAGAAAGTTTGTCTCTTACATGCCAGAAAGCATCTGTTTCCTGTGAAGAAGATAAAATTTGACCCCATTGAAAATCTGCTAATTGTTGGGTGTGAAGATGATTCTGTTTATGTTTGGGAAATTGAAACAGGTAATATCAGATTATTTGTTCACTTGAAGTTTTATCTGTGATGTTTATGAACATCTTAGATTAATTAGGGAGGTTAAAATTTCTATATTGTTCAAGGTACGTCACTAATATAATAGCTTACCTATAACTCGTTATATAGAGATTTAAGTCAGATTCTGATGACTGAATGATTAGCTGGTATTGCAGTGAACTGAACTCAGCAGTCATTCATAAATACAAGCATTTTTAATAGAGATTATGGTGTTTGAAGATGCTAACAGCCTCTAACTGTTCCATCTAAATTTTTTTCCTCTTCTAAAATTGATGGTGAAAACAGTATGTAATTTAGGTGGGAGAAATTGTGAAGTAGAATGTTTTCCTTGTTTCATACGCAACTAAGAAGGGTGCTTCAAAATCCTGTGAATAAGCTGTATATAAAAACTTGAGTCTGAGATGTCCCTAAAGGTCATTTAAATTTCATTGAAGATTCAGTTGCATTTAAAACTGTAGTAGAGCTTGGCAGATGTGACAAAGAACCATGGAACTTTTACTGTTTCCTTATTAATCTGTCCTTATCACTGCTATCATTTTAACTTGTTCTGCATCAGCTATTCTGTCTATCCTATACAATGACTAAAGCAGCCCAAGAAGTTAAAATGCTTCAAGGGAGATGATTATATGCCAGTTGCAATTTTATTCCAGTGTGATTAGATAATATCATACAAAAGTGCAGTGAATAATTTGTAAATCAGTGGGACTTAGTACCATTGGATTGTACTGGTACCAAGAATGCAAAAAGCAGTATGCATTGAATTCTCTCTTCTTTAGCCACGAAAATGGTGCTCGTTTGACAGGAAGTAAAATGGATGCTCACATATTACATATTCTAAATGGGTCAATTAAAATTATGTTAAATTACTCTTTCTGTTTCTTGTTGCCACTGGCTGGAATGCGGGTTGCAATCACTACTTTTAAAGAATGTGTGGAGCATAAGGGATGCAGTTATTTGCTGTAGAAGCCTATATCAACTTTCTTTTCTATTCCACCTCTGCACTGGTAGCTGAAAAATGTCATCTAAGCTAACCAGGATATACTTGCTTTAACGTAAATTAAATCTTTATTATGGGAGAACTTGAGAGGTCGTAGCATTGATCCTTGAAATTGGCCTGACCTAGATCAAGAACCGTATAGATACTTCAGTGTCACCCAGGCAGACAGAGTATTGTTTAGATGTATGAGAATGGTGTATCAAACAAAACTCAGCAGAAGCAAAGCCTTTTAATACAGTTTTCATCTGTCAATATTTGAACAGACAGATATGCATGTACCACTTGCAGAATTGTTTACCTGTGAGTTCCCAGATAGTTGGAGAGTACTCTTAGCAATAGCCTTGTGCTCAAATTCCATCGTGGATTTGAACATGGAATAGTTTTAGTAGTTCCTGTTGTCAAAAAGTGGTTTGGTTCTTTTTCTTCCTCTTCTGACTGTGCAGTTTCATGACTGAGGCTTTGCCTCTAAATGGAAGTCAGCAGAGGACCCAATTTTTGTGTCAGCCTCATTCATCACTGTTTGCATTTAAAAAAAAATACTGAACGCTGTTACTGTACTGGAGATAATGGATAACTGGGAAAACGGCCAATCTGCTTATAATTTGGGGATGTGAAATAAGGAATCTCTATGAATATTTCAGTATTTACATTGCTGTAGAGTCAGCAGTAACTCTGAATTTGACAAATGACTTCACAAAAATTCAGGGACTCTTAGTACCTGATAGTTGTTCAGCTATACCACTTTAGCTTCAGAGCTGTCCTATCAGGTCATTAAGAAAACAAATCCTTAAGCAAAAGAAAGCTTTTATTATATATTACAGTTTATCTTCCAAATTTCAGTGAGATACTGATGGCTGATACTTTTTTCAAAAAGTATTCTGAAGTTAAATTTAAGGCTCTTCTTAGCAAGTGTACTTTTGTTTCTCTTATGAGGTGGGAAAAACACTGTCATACAGATTAAAATCTAACCCAGCATTTGTGTGCAGCCTGTATCCATCTCTTTGTTAGCCTGTCAAAGATTTTATTTTTGCCTCATAAATGATAAACAATGGGTTGCCTATATTATTCCAAATAGTCATTTGAGGATGGCTTATGTTGAAACGCATTAAATGACAGAATGACAGAATCACAGAATGGACAGAGTTGGAAGGGACCTCAAGGATCATGAATCTCCACATGCAGAGGCCACCAACCTCCCCATTTAATGCTAGATCAGGCTGCCCAGAGCCCATCCAATCTGGCCTTGAACACTTCCAGGGATGGGGCATCCACAACTTCTCTGGGCAGCTGTTCCAGCACTTCACCGTCACATCCAACCTAAATCTCCCCTCCCTCAACTTAAAACCATTTCCCCTTGTCCTGCAGTTATCAACCCTTTCAAAGAGTTGATTCCCCTCTTCCTTGTAGGCTCCCTTTAGGTATTGAAAGGCTGCAATGAGGTCACCTCGCAGCCTTCTTTTCTCCAGGCTGAACAAGCCCAGCTCCCTCAGCCTGTCTTCATAGGGGAGGTGCTCCAGTCCCCTGATCATCTTTGTGGCTCTCCTCTGGACCCTCTTCAACAGCTCCCTGTCTTTTCTGTACTGCAGGCTCCACACTTGGACGCAGTGCTGCAGATAGGGCCTCACAAGAGCAGAGTAGAGGGGGACAATCACCTCTCTGTCCCTGCTGGCGACCCCTCTTTTGATAGAGCCCAACAAGGTTATAGTTAATTTCAAATTAACTTTCATCTTAAATTCATCTGAACTAGGGACATCCATTTATGCTTATAAATATAAGGTAGTAACTAGCAGCTAGTAGTTTAGGCTGTGTCTTTAATGTTTAGGAGAAATTAGGAATGAGTAGAAGGGCTTATCTTTTCTCCGTTGACTGCAAGGAGAGCATGAAGAAGAGGGGTTGAAAACAAATTACTTGCTGCTACTATTACAAGTCCCCAATAAGATGAACTGAATCTCATTTTAAGTACTTTTGATTTACTCAATGAAGTGAAATTATTGTAAGTTTAAATGTTGCTGCTGAACGTGCGTGTGGTTAGTGATATGGAAAATGAAATAGATGCTATGAACTAGTATTTGTGTAGGCAAACATTTTGCCTACATTTTAATATATGGATATGGTAAGTTCCCATTAAAGTAGAATATTTTCCATGACAATAAATATTGATCTAATAATACATATGGAATATTAATATAGCATGTTCCCAGGGTATGTTCCAAACTTGTGTGCTGGAAGATGAATATGAAAATCAATAACAAATTTTGTTCTAATTAAAGTGTAAAATATTTCTTCCAATAGCCACCACTTGAAGTCCACTTCAATAAGGAAATTAGCTGTAATCTATATTGCTCTTATGTTTTTCTGAGGAGTTGATATATTTGAGATTTTTTTAAAAAGGTAATTGGCATAAGATGTAACAACAGGATCATATTTTCTTTCTTGGTTAAAAAAAATCATGTGGAAACCTGCCAATGGAGCTACATCTTTGTCTAATACACACTGAGAGCAAGGAAATAGTAGATAGACTTAAAAGAGGGATCTTCTTTGTTTTGAGGTAGCAAAGCGATCCTCATTTATCGAAGGTAGGTTTAGTTTTTACTTGGATGTCATTTTTTTTCATCATTCTTGCAGAATGTACCTTCTAGTAATTTACTATATTTTATTCTGTCTTGGAAGTGTTGCTTTATTTTATTGTTCAACTATGTGGTTATTGTGAGTTTAAGACAGAATAAAATAGTTAAATCAGACCTTTTGTTCTGTTATTATAGCTATAGAGCAAGACTTTCTGCTAATGGCAATTATGATTTTTTACTAGCTTGCTTTTACTAGTTGCTTGAATTATGGGCTGTTGGGAAATAAAATTTGTAACGTAATGCTTGACTATTTTGTTTATGACTAACTTTACATCTGAAACTATTTATGGATCTGTTATCTTTTACTTGTGCAATATTCTGTACCATTTATTACATGCAGGGCAATTTTATTAAAAAGAGAGAAGCAAATAGCCCTCACTTTTTAAGTTAAAACAAATTGCTATGAAAGAGTAAAAACATTATTAAAAGCAATGTAGGTAGTCACGTAACTAAGATGTGTGTTTGAAGGGAAATCTCTTGCATCATATACATGCAAGAAACCTTAGTGATATTTTCTCTGCTGTTCTGTTCCATTTCTGTCACTTCAGCATTATGTTAATTCTTCATATAGTGGTAAGTGAAACGCTGTGATTGCTGCTTAATGGAAGTTGAGTCTGTATGCTGATATTTGACATGAAAAGTCTGCATAGCTGTTTTTTTGAGTAAACAGAAGTGGTAATGAGACTATGTAATTATTTTCCTTAAAGTTGTCCTGTTCCCACCAGGAGGACATCAACGCTGACTGTATTTCACAGCAGCGTTCCATTCAGTTATGAGACCGTGTCTTAAGGCACGAAGACTTTATGGAATGGTGTTGTAGACCAAGCTTGTTTCACATTGACTGACAGACAGACTGGAACGTCTTCAAAAGCTGTTCAAAGTTAACTTGTGGATATCTGTGGTCCAACATTTTTCCATCTGGTGCCAACAAGAAATCTTCCAAGTTTGTGATAAGCTCTGCCAGAGTTATATTAGCTGCAGAATACGTGGTGTTTCCTTTCCTTTTTGTAAGCTGACCCTCACTTAGTATTTCCGACAGCTTTACTCACTCAGAACAAATTGATTAAACTGTTAAAAAAAAAAAAAACAACCCTAAGATTTAGATTTCTTCTAGTGTCTGTAAGGATATAATCTGGACATTTTTAATGAAACTCTCACAACTGTATCAAAGTAAACTTAATAACTGACTGTACGTTTGTGCCTAGGCAGTTGTAGAAGCAACCATAATTACAATTCTCTAACCCTTTTGTCCTTGTAAAAGTTAGTGATTTACAGTCTCTTTTGATATTTTTCATTTTCATTCTTTTCTTTCCATCTCTTTTTTTTTTTTTTATCCTTAGGTCAT